ATCCTTCTGGTTAGCAGTCAAATGCCTCAGGCACTATGCTACCAGAGCTCACATAAGGTTATTTTCTTCTCCTTGCAACTACTTTTGTGACAACTCCAATGGCCTCTCCTTCCCTAAATGCTAATACTCAGTCCTCTTCTATACATTACTCTTGGTCTTCCGAACATTACTCTTGGTCTATCCATAGGTAACCCCACTTATTCTCTTACATCTACATCCTTGAGCAGCTGTGGAGGAAGACCAGCTGCCAAGCTGACATAGACAAGGTTCTCTCTAGTAACATCAACTTCTTGGTGACTCATTTACTTGTGCCCACAGAATACCCTGTGTGGCCACTCCTCCCCTTCTATTTACTCTACTGCCTTTAAGCACTTTGAATTTTTAGCAGCTGGACATCTGCCCCATTTCTCTGTTGTTGTTGTTGTTATTTGCCATCAAGTTGGACCTGACTCATAGCGACCCCTCCTTGGGTTTCTGAGGCAGTGTCACTAAAGAAGTAGACTGCCCAACCTTCTTCCTGAGGAGTGGCTGGTGGGTTTGAACCGGCAGCCTTCTGGTTAGCAGTCAAGTGCCTTAGCCACTACGCTACCAGAGCTCCTCTCCATTTCTCTGCTTCTCTTCATATAGAGGCTCTTGCAAGAGCTACAAATAACAGCTGGGTGAATTTCCTGAAAGCCAGCACATTCCTCATGTTCCTGGATCCTTACCCGCTTGCCTTTTGCCCCATGCACTCCACAAGACCCATAATTAACTTGGTTCTTCGGAACCCTGAATTGGCAAACAAGAAGACATTTCTTCACATTGTCTTTGTTAGCTTGCCGCCTCTAATATACAGCTTTACAGTGTCTTGAAAAACGGCATATTAACAAAACATTGCAGGGAGGAAGAAGGCAGATGGAAAGCAAACAACAATCTGTTTCTCAAACTTGCCCTCCAGGACTGGCTCTGAAATTTCAACATCAATCTCATTCTCTTCACCAAAGGGGTTCATCTGACTTTCTTCTCTGCTTTTTATATTTTCCCCTTATATCAGACCCTGGAAAAATCCGTCTGTGGCCATGGATTAATTCACATCCAATGATGATCATTTTATATATATATATATATATTTTGTTGTTGTTATGTGCCACCGAGTCAAACCTGACTCATAGCGACCCCTCCTTGAGTTTCTGAGGAGGTATCACTATGGAAGTAGATTGCCCAACCTTCCTTCTGAGGAGTGGCTGGTGGGTTTGAACAGCCAGCCTTCTGGTGGTTAGCAGTC